GCAATGAGGAGGGACGCTCGTCGCTTAGCTTCGTTACGGAGGGTACGTTGAAGGATAATCGCATCGACGAACTATCGCAAGTTAGTAACTGGTCTTGTCTTGTACAACATATCCCTGGTGCGCTCTATCTTTAACCACGAGACCCCCCCCCCCCCCCCCCCCAGATTATGCACAACTAACCTGATTGGCATGTGGCGCGGCGACGAACAAAACAGGGCCAGTCTGAGGAACACGCCAGGCACCTCGAGGCACAACTTCTCGGAAGAACATATCGACGATGTTGCCGACAGTATATAGGAACATGTCGTACTTCCAGTTCACCATAGGATAGAGCTCCTTCTGCGGGGTTGAGTTCGTCGCGGACTGCGGCGCTGCCGCGTCCTTTGTCCCAGCATGTTGAGACATTACGGGCTTGCGCGGAAGAGCCCAGCGTTATTAAAACAGGCGCGCGAAACGATATTTCGAAGTCGAGCTGTGGATAGATGTTGCACGATAAAAATTTCCGACAGAGCGGGCAAGCGAGTTGTAATCGATGTGAGGGGCGGCGGGCCTCAGTTATGGAGCGAACACAGGATGGACGGTCGGACGGAAATGTGACGAGAAATAATATATACAAATATTTGGAGGTGTTGGCTCTAGAGGGAGGTCTGCATTCCTGGAACGACAAGGATGAAGGATATGGAAGAAGATGCAGGATGGAAATGGAAATGGAAATGGAGAAACAGCTGGGGCTGCTGGGGTTGGGAACAGAATGTACTGTACTGCACCTCAAGGAGGGGAAGCTACTGTACTCCGTACGTGATGGAGGGAGAGGTGTCTGCCCAGTAAGGAAAGGTTGGTTTTAAAGCTGACAAGCTATGATCTTCATAGGATGAGTTAAAAACCACGGCACTTTACATATCTTTTGGCACGTCACAATTGGCTCCCTTTCTCGAGTCTTTTCTTTGTTGTTGCTGCACCGACTGTCTTTGTCGTCAACGAGCTTCCTTTTTAGTTACAATCGCCCGCTTGCAATCCCTTCTGACGACCGAGGATATATACTTCCAAGCCCTATGGACTATAGTCTGCGGCGCAAACCCCGTACCAACCCGTACTCGCACTCGGCGCTTTTCCCCTGCAAACTGTTTATCATCACTCCACTTACATCGGAGATCCGGTGCGGTACGGTACGGCATGGTGCAGGTTGCAAGGAGCACCAGGGTTTTTGCGCAATCAGTATAGCATCAAAGACATTGTTTAACCCGAGCATGCCGGTCACAAGCCACAAATAACGGTTCTGCATGAACAGTACGACAATATCTACTGTCAAGAGCTTCATTGAACCTCTGGGAGGCAGTCATTAAACTGCATCAAGAACAAGATATGTGCCGTCCCATCGCCTCCCTCGCCCTGCCGAGAGATCACAAGCCCGAGTCACCTATCCATCAATCAATCACAAGTTAATTCACACCACTATCGTCACCACCCCAGCCACTGTTAGTTTGCTCAACCCCGGAACCATCCGCTCCATCACGCTACAGTGTCTCTCCATATGGGTCCTTTACCGAATTCTCTTTGCGAATTTCCGAGAAACATCAAACAAGGAATAGAAAAACGCATCCGTGCACCCGTATTCACATGTCAAATTGTTGACTCTTTGTCGAGAATTCTCCATCATTGCGGTCACAAAATGTCCAGATATTAAATATGTTGAAAACAAGTAAACCTGCTTGGCGTAAATCTTGTCTATATCAGCCGAGTCCCAACAAAAAAGCCAAGTCAAGTGGCATCAATGCGGTTGAGACCTCTAATGCATGCGCCATCAGAACGGGGGGTGTCCACTCTGCAGCTTGGCTACCTATAAAATTGCCGTGCCTCTCAATCCGTCAGACCGTCTGCTCATCCCGAGGCCGAAAGGATCTTCAGATTTCGATAGAAGAGAATAGACGAGACGCTGGGTTGGGTATTCTAGACCTTTGTACAACTGCATAATGCTACACACCTTTCGACAGACCCCTGCTTCAATATGCAACTGTGGTGCGTTATGCTGTAACTACTGTCACTGTTCAAACTTTGAGGCTTAGGGTAGGTACGTTTTTCCACAAGTGCACCAAATACATCATGGATGATCATGTGCTGGAAGTTGTCACGATGGTTGAAAGACGTTATTGGTATTTTAGTAAGAAATATAGGTAATTAAACATCCTCCCACGCCTTGGTAACTTGAATTCATCAAAAGACACGCTGAGAGATTGTCCAACTCCAGGCCAGTGATCTTGAGCACTCAACGTTTTCCACGACGCCGGCTCTTCTTCTCTGGCACACTTGCGCTGCCGCCTTCTAGCTCACCCTCCTCAATCTTGCCCTCATTTTCCAACTCTTTCAACTTCTCTTGCCCTGATATAAACATGCTCAGATCGCGGTTCATCTCTTGAAGGTCAGCATTCTCTCCTTTAAGTTTCTCCAACTCTTTTACTATTGCTCCGTGGTCGCTGTTGAGATGCTCAATCCGCTTCATCAGTCCCTCGTTCAAACGTTTTTCCTCTTGGAGAGATTTGCCAAGGTTGCGTGCTAATGTTTCGCTCCTGCTCGCCTTGTTCCGCTCTCGAGCAAGTTGCTTCTCTAGCTCTGGTATTGTTTCCTGGCTGAGGGTTGTATATTTTTCATCGAGTACTGCCATACTTTCTATAGCCTTTGAGGCTTGTGCCGCAGCTTCCTCGGCCGCAGCAGAAGCTTTCGAGGCCTTATCAACAGTCTTGCTGATCAGTTCTTCATAGTATGCCCTTTGGGATTCCAGTTGACTCGTGACCAGGTGTGTGTACTCCAGACCAATGCTGTCCAGCTTGGCTCGAGGAACCACATCCTCTTCTTCCAAATGACCGACTGACCTATTTCTTGAAGGAAGTTCCACAACCTTCCCATCACCTTTATCTCGTATGAGTCGATGAACCCACATGTCTCCAGCGTAATCCCAAACATGCTGTGTTTCCAGCTCCAGAGCAAAACAGTGGGCTGTTTCTTTCCAGTGATCTTTGGCATGGCCACCTTTGTATCGGCCACAGCCCACATAGCCGCAAATCAAACAAATCCATAGGTCATCTGTGCAATCGCAGATGCTGCAGAGATTCGAGACTCCAGACCCAAATGGCTTTGAATGAGGCCCCGAATGATCTGATTCTGAGTTGGGTGAGGTGTTTGTGAATCGACAGACAGGACACCCAGCACCTTTCCAATTCTGGAGGCATGTACAGTGAAACACATGAGAGCATGGTATTGTCATCAACCCATTTGTCTCATCCATGCGTTCCAAGCATACAGGGCAAGTTGGCAATTCCACGAGATTCGGTGTTGGTGGAGGAAACGGTCTGAGGCTGCTCGACATGCCAGCAGGCGAGGATAAGGGGGAAAGAGCCGCGCTTGATTTTCGTCGTGTCGGTGTTTCGAATGTTATACTCTTGACGAAAACTACATGGCAGATTTGAGGCTGTATCATTGTTAGAGATAGGTGTAGGGAAATTATATGTTTTGGTCACTTACCTCCACAGTATTAAAGACCTTTCCGTCGAACTCTCTCCGCCATTGCTTGGCCCGAAAATTGTTTCGGAACTTAAGCAAGACGAGATATCTGTTCATCCGCGATGTCATAACCATACGGCAATGACTGATATCCCCCCTCCATTTTTCTCCAACGAAACCCATCAGGTCACCTGGCGACATATACGCCGGGACTGCTGGTATACAAAGAGTTGTGCAGTCGGTATCCTTTGAGCCACTTGCTTCAGTTTCTTGATGGTCCGTCTCGATGAGGCCGGAAGTCTCGTCTTCTTCTCTGTAGAAGTGTACGACTCCCCAGCCGAGCTCAGTATTCTTTGTCTCGAGAGGAAGAAACTCAGCTTTTGTCGCTGTACCGGCCCCCCCGAATGTTGGCCCCAGTGAAGGAGCCGCAGAAGGGCCACTTCGGGTCGTCTCGCCTGCCATTGCGTGTCCAGTCCTAAGGTCGACCGTCTCGAGGCTAACACGGCCAAACCGCCAGTCTCTAACTGCGTTCTGTGGATGTATCGCGACACTTGAGTTCGGGGGCGGAAAGCTGTTAGCTCGTTCGAGCCACTGTCTCTCGGTAACAATCTCGAGTTTCCGTCCGGAGTCTTTGACCGATGGCTTCGCAGCTGCGCCACAATCTATTATACCGAGATTCGACGAGGGTGAGTTTTCCCTCGTAAGAGTGTATGGACTTGCGTGGCTCGTTGATTCGTGCTGGGGATCTATAGAACTCGATACTTTATAAGTAGTTTGTCGGTCTGGTCGCGGATGGGATGGAAAATCGTCGAAGACACTCGCTTCAGGAGACGGAAGCCAAACTTCGTCTTGAGCTTTAGCTGCTGATGTTGCAGCGACCGGATCAGGAGTCGGATAAAGCTCGAATTTGAGGTGATAGAAGTAAGACGGCATAGCCTGATATATCGGTCTGCGGTAGAACCGCTTGCTCGAGAAAGATGCACTAGGTCTTGGTCGCAAACTCAGATTGGTCTAGGCATAGAGTGAAGTATATCGTTTGTTGCTAGGGAGGCCAAAATAGATGATGGTGAAGTGGTAGATACTTATAAGTCATCGTATGCCTAGGTGTGACAGTGACGACGACGAAGAGGAGGCCTGACTTGGTGGGTACACGAGTATTTAAAGAGGAAAGATTTGGACTTGCAGCTTGCGGCTCATGAGCTCTATGTCAGCCCCACCCATCATGACCTGGCTGCACTGTGGAGTACCCGGCAACTGAGGGGCAACTCCACACAGCGTCGTCAACAACACTTACATGGCAACACATGGAACATCACAACTGCAAGACAATCAGAAGATGTGATAAATAGTCAAGTAGACTCCAATAGTCTATTAGCACCTTGCATAGTATTTGTAAGGGCAAAAACTACATAATAATCATGACAGGCCTAGAAGTTGCCTGATCTCGAATTCAATGCCAGTCCCTAACGCCATCATAAAATCCTGTCACCGTTCGTTGGAATAGCTTACTGGCCACCGCGAAGTCGGAGAACGAGGTGGAGAGTTGATTCCTTCTGGATGTTATAGTCGCTCAGGGTGCGACCATCTTCCAACTGCTTACCAGCGAAGATAAGACGCTGCTGATCAGGGGGAATGCCCTCCTTATCCTGAATCTTGCTCTTCACGTTGTCGATAGTGTCACTAGACTCAACCTCAAGGGTGATGGTCTTTCCAGTGAGAGTCTTCACGAAAATCTGCATACCACCACGAAGACGGAGCACCAGGTGGAGTGTAGATTCCTTCTGAATGTTGTAGTCGGAAAGAGTTCGGCCATCCTCAAGTTGCTTGCCAGCAAAGATGAGTCGCTGTTGATCCGGGGGAATACCCTCCTTGTCCTGGATCTTGCTCTTCACATTATCAATGGTATCGGATGACTCGACTTCCAGAGTAATGGTCTTTCCAGTAAGGGTCTTGACGAAGATTTGCATACCACCACGGAGGCGGAGGACGAGATGAAGGGTAGATTCCTTCTGGATGTTGTAGTCGGCAAGGGTTCGACCGTCTTCCAGTTGCTTTCCAGCAAAAATCAGGCGCTGCTGGTCAGGAGGGATACCCTCCTTGTCCTGGATCTTCGACTTAACATTGTCGATGGTATCGGACGACTCGACCTCAAGAGTGATGGTCTTGCCAGTGAGGGTCTTGACGACTATGAAGAGTTGTTAGAAGCAGATCGTGCGGCGACGAAGTCGATGTAACTTACAAATTTGCATACCACCACGGAGGCGGAGAACAAGATGAAGAGTGGACTCCTTCTGAATGTTGTAATCAGAGAGAGTGCGGCCGTCCTCAAGCTGCTTGCCGGCGAAAATCAAGCGTTGCTGGTCGGGGGGGATGCCCTCCTTGTCCTGAATCTTGGACTTGACATTGTCGATAGTGTCGGAAGACTCAACCTCGAGGGTGATGGTCTTGCCGGTTAGGGTCTTGACGAAGATCTGCATGGTGGCGGTGATCTGTCGCGAAAGTGATGTGGATAGATAGTAATCGGACGAGAGAAGGTCTTTGTTATCGCTAGTCTTGAGCGAAAGTAAAGTCTTGGGTGAGAGATGTTTTGGGGAGAAAAGAGGATGAAGTCAGAAAGAGGTGAGAGAGGTTTAAGTACTGAGGGGGAAGGTTTGTTTGATAATCAAGCGGGCGGGCAGGCGAGAGGGGGCGCAGTGACTGGATTACGCTTGCCAGTGACGAACGGCAACGGCAAGGCAGCGTGGCAGACACTGGAACCCAGGAGCGCAGCTTCCGGGGGCGGATGATTCATGAGAGCGAATGACGGTCGCGGCTAGGGAAGGCTCCAGAATCTGGCCAGGCTGCAGAGCGCCACTACAAGTTCTCAGTACTTTATCTTTATGTGACACTGAGGCTTGATATGAGGTACTCGAGACCTGTCACTTATCGCCGTGAAGTGGGTCCAAGGTTCGCTAAAGGCTGAAAGTCAGACTGATGTCAGGAGCGGTGGTTGGATGTGTCTGTTCATTCATGCTCTAGCATCTTCGAGGAGGATCTCGAAGCACTTAGAAATATAAAAGCAAATCTTGTCCTCAAGTTCAAGCAAAGTCTTTATCTGAAGTGCTTACAACAAGCGACAACCACCGACTAACAAGTCAAAGCGTGTCTACCATAGACCGACGCAGTTCTTTATCCATTACCCGTCTCATTCACCATCTCACCGTGATTCACCACGCATCAGCAGATACCCACGGCCTAGCGCTAGGATGCACGAGAGCGGAGTGGCGGAGCCTGGAGTGGGCATGTCGCCACTTTACCCCGGGAAAGACAAAAAGCGATGCTTGTTTGGATGTCTTGAACAGACGCAATTCGACCATCACACATTTGTCTAGAAGAATAGCTAATTTATTCAAGCCTTTTCTGGGAGATCGCAGGTGATCATTCCCCAAAGCTTCAGAGACCAAGCCTTTGGCTCAGGAACCGATGGCGAACGCTCTGGATCAAAACGCCGAGATAACTCAAAGTGGATTTGACAGGATACGGAGTAGGTCTAGCACCACTATCAGAAACGGGAGACTTGATGTACCTGGACGGACACCTCTCTGGCATCAAGAGTTCAGCACTCAATTATCTTGCAGTCAGCGATGCTGAATTTTCACAGCAGAAAATTTGACGACTCCCAGTCCAAGTTCCATATCGAAATGTCCCGGGGGTCACCGACTTCTGCCGCCCGCTGAATCCGGTCTTGTCGGTACTTGCGACGTCATCAGCCAACGATTCTGGCCCGTGAGGACCCTGTCTTGACGACTACCTTGTTCGCATCAACTTCTTGAACTTGCTGCAACACAACGAGGCTGGTAACGTTTCGAGTTTGGATCACGGCAATGCCTTGAATTCGAAGGCATTCATTTCCAGCTATGATTGTCTCGTTGCTTTCATCTGCGAATGATCGCCTCACTGTTTCGATTCGTTATCAAACCTGACAATGAGCTTATCTCAAACAATTATTACTTAACCTGGCGTCTTATCATGACCCCGCCTTTGTGGTGTTGGCAAGGCACCTCGTGAACCACCCAGACCCCCCGATTTCGTGATAGCTCGGCAATGCCTGAGGGTGTCTAATGCTATCGGTCCGCCCCAACAGCCATTGTGTTTCAGTTGATGCTATGGCTGACTATGTTTTTCGCTTTCCCCTCCAGCCGTTGCAAATATGCGTCTGGATTAGGAAGTTTCTTAGTGTCGAGTGAGACATTGTCTCAAAGCTTCTGAAGTTGTGACTCCAAACGATTCAAGCAGAACATTAAGGAATGGAGTGGCCTTGAGGGTATTACTTATGATAAATGTCCCAGGTTTTGCCTCCCCTTGAGTGGCCCCTAACATTAGTTATTTGACCGTTCAGACATATTATGGTCATGCACTGGTCACTTATTCACAATTTCCGTTCAGTACAGACTGAAGTTTTAAGGGGTTTAAAATTCCGTTCGATATACTTGTGGCAGCTTTGTAGCACTTGCCAAGCATAGAGCCTTTTTTGTAACTATCCAATATCCCTTTGACAAACTGCTAAAGTAAAAAACACGATTCGCTCTGCTCTTCATCGTCGACTTCGCACTCTGCTTGCCGCGAGTCCAGCCCACTTGAGCTCACCAACGCCCTCCAAAGAGACTGTAAATCACACACACCTCCCATATAGGCTCATCAGCCATGCGAATTCTTTCATTCCTCAAATGCCACATCGTCAAACATGATCCCGTAATAACACCACAAAATGGGTGAGGTTCGCTATCATCTGTATGGTACGGTCGTTCTTCTCTTTCTCCAAGACTTTAAAACAATAAAACAATAAAATATGATAAAAAGAACTAAAACGCTCTGTCTTCTTCAGTCATACAATCATAGAAGAAAGTCATAAGAAGGTCATAACACATTTTCCCGTGTCAGGTAGCTTCGTGTTGTCGGGCGGTGACCAGCCGTGATAGAATGTTAGAGTCATGTTCGTATGCTCAAAAAGGACAAATCTGGGGTCGCTGTTGACCAAGATTGAAAAGGCCTTGTCAACGCTTTCGCTGTGATAAAACAAATGCAACAAAGGAAAAGAGGGCTCCTATAGGGCCCCGTCATATGTTTTGACAGTGTCATAGCATCGTGATTTGAGTAGCAGTATCTTAGTTGGCTCGGATAACAAGCTTTGAGAGGAACTTGTTGGACAGGGAGTCGAAGTCGTAGCGGTCAAACTTTGACTCCTTGCGGGTACGAAGATAAGCCTCTGTGATGGTCGTTAGTGCGAGATATAAGAACAATACTGTCAAGGTGTACCTACCGTGCTTGATGACGTGCTGTCTCACTTCAGTCATGGCCTCGCAGACCGAGGTGTTGTTGTGGAGGAGGTGGCCATGCTTGCGTGTGTCCCAGTCGGTGAAGGCAGGGAGCTTCTGGGAGATGGCGTGGAAAAGACCCACAATCACACCAACAGGTGTTGTCTCCATGTCAAGGCAGAACTTGTTGACGGCAACAGGGTCGGGGACTCGGTAGTGGCAATCGAACTGCATCTCCTCCCAGACAGCAAGGAGGATGGAGGCAATCATGAAGATGGTAGGCCAGTTCTTCATCTTCTCACCACTGTAGACGCCAGAGTAAAGGGCAGAGAGCTCCTCGAGGATATCCTTCTGCAACTCACGCCACATATCGGCGAGGGCACACTTGATCTGGAAGTTGATCATGACAGGGGCAACAGTACGACCGTAGTACTTGGAGTCCTCGTCGTCGATCTGACCATCGAGGTCAACCTCGGATCCCTGGTTCTCAACCATGGTGATGTGCATGGTGAGGTTGTAGGCAAGGACCAGCTTAAGCGACTTTCGGATAACAGGCATCTTCTCCTTGACATAGTAGCGGTGAGCGGTCTTAAGAATCTCAGTGATAAAAGGAGTACCCTCGAAATGGTCGTCAATGAAGTCTTCGAAAGGACCATCAATGTGCTTGTCAAGATACTCAGAGAGTGCATCAAGACGAATACCTTCGGCACCGACGTCAAGCTTCTCAGTGCGGGTCTCGAAGTCAATAGGCTCCTGGTCGGTGAGTGTGGACTCGACCCAGTCAACCGAGAAGCAGCTGTCGTCGGCAACAAAGACCTCGCGAACCATAACGGGGAGCGCGAAACCGTATCCGTGGGTGATCCACATAAGGGTCTCCTTCTGGGCGAAACCCTTGACATTGTAGACTGAGACACCACGGTCCATATGTCGCTCGTAGTCGGCCTTCCAGTCCTTCATGAAGTAACCAATATCCTTGATGTCGATACGAGTGCAAGGAACCTGCCAGAGTCGGGCGTGAGAAGGCTGGCAACCAGCACAGGGCTCGCCCTTATCGCAAGTCTTCTTGAGGAATTTGCATCGGAGACAAGCTCGCAATTTTCTGATCTCACTAGCCTGCTTTCTCTGCTCAGGTAGAAGAGGTCCCTTTCTGCGGCCAACCTTCTTCTCAACGGTACCATCCTTCTTGCCGTTGGAAATACGTCGAACAACATTCTTAGTGGTGCTCTTAGCAATGGGGCTCTTACGAGGACCCGAGTTTCGGCGGTTAGTGCTGCTGGAAGATGGGGAGACAGATCCGGCACCACTGCCGGGGCTATGACGGCTCGAAGAGGGTTCAGACTTGATGGGGACAGTGGCGACAGCGGTGGCAGCGACAGTGGTGGTAGCAACAGGCTCATGGGTATGTGTGTGAGTGTGAGTGTGGTTGTGAGCGTGGCCATCGTTGCTGAAGCAGTTGCGGTGGTTACCAGCATCGACATAGCCATCAGACTCGGGAGAGAATGGAGAGTAGGGGAAAGGCGCAATCTCCTCAAAGCTTCCGAACTCCATGGAATTGGCGCCGTCGGATGAATCGGAATTGGTTCTCAAGTGAAGAGTCTGGGAAGGGTTGAAGATAGCAGCGCCCTGCGCGTGAGCTTGTTGGAACTGATCGAAGTTGGGCTGATTCCAATCCACCATGGCCCAGCCCTCGCCTGAGGATGAAGGAAGAGACAATACCTCGAGGTATGTGCCAGTAGGAGAGTTGCTTCCGACGCTATCAAGACGAGGTAATCCATCCATCTGCAGAGTATTCTGGAATTCCTGCCAGTCCCCCATTCCGGTGTTGGGCCACACGGCTTGTGTGTGGTCGTCCATTGGCAGTCCATTGAATGTCGATTCGAGGAGATTGGCTTGAAGAGCTGCCTGCGTAGTCGCGGGAAGATAATCCAGGGGGTTGGTCGGCTGGAAGTTTGCAGGGAAGGCATTGAAGCTCATGAGGGCAGCATCTTGGATGAACTGTGTCATATCAGTAGCAGCGAGGTGCTGCTGTTGCTGCTGCTGTTGCTGAAGGGCCCAATCCGTCAAGGGGTTCACACTTTGCTGAAAAGGTGATTGTTGTAACGGCGAGTGCTGGCTATGAGGACTGGCGGATTGAGATGGAGGAGAGGACTGGTGCTCCTCCGGGCTCATCGAGGCATAGCCGT